GCCGGGGAAGTGTTACCAGTATAAGCAGATGAAGCATGCGCGCGGGAAGGCCTACTTTAACCTGCTGATGGTGGCCGTGTTCTGGCTGGTGTTCGTGGTGCTGTTAGTGTCGTACGGACAGATCGCTCGCCGTCTGCTGCGCGCCTCGCAGGATAAACCGCACCTCCCCAACGCCGCCCGCTACGCCCGCACCGCTAGGAAGTCGTTCGTGGTTCCGCTGCTGTTCACGGTGTGTTTCGTGCCCTATCACGCCTTCAGAGGGTTCTACGTGGCGTCTCAGCTGCAGGACATCAGCTGCGAGACGCGGCGGCTCATGGACCGCACTAATGAAGCCGTGCTGCTGCTGTCGGCCCTCAACAGCTGCCTGGACCCCGTCATGTACTTCCTGCTGTCGGGCTCGGTACGGCGGGCCACCCTGCAGGCGCTCGTTCAGTGTCTGCGTCTGCATGCGGAGCCGCCGGCCACCAACAGCTCCACCACAGAGCTGCGCAGGACCTCAGTGTCTCACGCCTCCACCACCGCGGTGCTGGACACATCCAGGTGCAGTCTGGGAAACATCACGACACTGCGGAGTCAACAAACCGACCTGCACCCGCACTCAGAGCCCTGTGTGCACAGATCGGTTCTGTCTGACTGAAGAGCTGAAATGAAGACGTGTGTTCTGAAGCGGACTCATTCAGGGAGACTCCTCAGATGATCCACTTACATCTCTGTTCATGAAGTGCTGCACACCTCCTTCATCCGGCCACAAGGACTCCTGTGATGTCTGGAGCGAGCTCAGCGATACCAGGAGTGCCTCACGCCCCATTCACACAGGGGGTCAGCGTCAACGCTTTCCATTCACTTTCAATGGGTGACGTCAGGCGTTGCCGAACTGCATTGTGGATCCATCAGCGCCGCTTCAGAGGCGTTGCTCACTGCAGGAGCTGGGACTAGCTCAACTTTTCAAGCAGTGTTGGAAGCGTCAGCCAATCAGATTGCTGTATGCAAATACACCAGCTAGACAGTGGCCTACTGCTGTCTGAATTTCATTGGCTGACGCTGCTATGATGATCGCTTCAGCCCCAACTTCAGACACGCCTTCAGTCAAGCATTGATGCTGAAGCCCTGTGTGAATGGGGCGTCAGGGTTCTGTCACGGCTCCTCTGTTCTTGGGTTCTGGAGCTGAACTTTGGTGGTTGATGATGACGTTACAGCAGAACACGAGAACGCTTCAGAACACATGGAGAAACAGCTCCTGTCTGCTCACTCCTGGACTCGCTGGAACTGTTAGAAGTGTGAGTGTCTGAGCGAGGGTGAGGGGTGTGCGGCTGGAGACCACAGTTGCAGGACACACCACACACGGGCCTCATGGGCCAGACTCTGCTGACATTTATTTTGCAATTTCCGCACAGAATTGTGTCAGAATCTTTATGTTGATGAAAAATTTTGAGAGAAAAATGTAACTAAAAACTTGACAAGAAGTAAAGTCTAAATCAAACCTTTTTACTTTTATTGGAGGTCTGCAATGCAAATGCAGCTGGAGCCACTGGTGTGGTAATAAATACACCTACTAGTAGGCAGATAATATTATTCTGTTAAATGTAGTGCTCTTAAATCAATGCTAATATGAACATCTGCATATGATTGCTGAAATGAAGGAACATTAAAACTGAATTAATAGATCAGGGTATATGCAGGCAGGCAGGCCCGGCGGCAGGGTGTCATGACTGAGGGGGCATATGAATCCCACAGGGGGGCACTAGTCCTGGTGACTGATTTTAGTTCCTCTTGTTCTTTTCATTTAGGCTGTTTATTCACTTACTGATTACTTTGCATGACTGCCTGAGTTACTGAGGTGATGCAGGGATGTACTCTGTATAATAATCTGCAGTTTCACTATTAAACAGTGGCTAAATGTGTTCTCTGGGTACATTTTAAGGCATTGGTGAAGCAAAACAGAGTCTGTCCACCTCAGCAAAAATAGAAAGAAATTCAGTTTTTACCATGAAAATGGAGAACAGGAAACTCCACAGGCCATACAGAATAACTATTATTATTATTTT